TGACAGTTTGAATCAAGCTATTTGTATTGGGTAGAGTTCTATTAGATGTCATAATTATGGTTTTGAAATAATTATCATGTAGTTTTCTTAATTATTCAAGTTCCATTTTCAAAACTATATGCTTAATCTGGACCAAAGGCACTAACTTAGCACTTAGGTGAAATCAATGTATAGTCGGACTCAAGATCGTCTGTAGTTTGTGTTTCGTTAAGTTCCCATTTCTGAAAGGAAAGAAACTATAATGAATTCTTAATGATATATATGTCTGCTCAGGTAAGAGGAACTCGAATCAGAGTTGGGGGCATGGCAAAGGGTTCTGGGATGATTCATCCTAACATGGCAACAATGCTTGGTGTAAGTATCTTCAGAATTCCTGCTGTTTCCACTTAAGCAGTGAGAGTAGCTTACTGGATTCGAGCAACTACGCAGGTAGTAACTACAGATGCCTCAGTTACAAGTGATGTTTGGAGAAAGATGGTACAAGTTGCTGTAAATCGAAGTTTTAATCAAATTACTGTAAGTAAGACATTTTATATTGTTTTAATACTTCAGACGTTATTCTGATCATGCATGAGGACTGGAGGAGTTCAATGGTAGAAATTTTCCCTGGCATATGAACATTTCTGGTGTATTTAGTTATCAAATGAAGCAGCTAAATTTTGCTTTCACTGAAAGTTTAATTGTCAAATAGATCAAAATTTTAAATGTTCTCCTTATTCTATTTTCTTTTCTTCTCTGGCAAAATTTATTGAAGTAAAGCTTTAGATTCATGAAACTTGTGCAAGTTGTTTCCACCTGGTTTCTGGGTCTGAGGAAGAGAGATTGATGCCATGTGGTTTTGCTACATCAGTACTGGTGGAAGGTCTTTCGCATGATATATCTGAGACGTATTATTTTTTCTGTAATGTTGAGCAGTTGTGTTAGTTTTTTGGTTGCAAGTTTAAGTTGTGTGATTTTATCAAATCCATTTCCCCATAATGCAAATAAATTCCCAGATTGATTTGACTAGCCCTGTTCACATATTTCAAATGAATTCATGTTCATTTGCTGTGTGTACCGCATTCCTGTTTATCATCATAATAGAGACAACAATGTATTCAATGACTCTGTTGCATGATCTAAACCCAGGGGAGCATATATTTTGACAGGTCGATGGAGACACTAGTACAAATGATGCTGTCATTGCTCTTGCCAGTGGACTTTCAGAATCACATGAGATTTCTTCTTTGAACTCCTCGGAGGCAGAACACCTACAAAACTGCCTTGATGCTGTATGTGCTGTAATTTCCTTTATTTGCTTTATTCTTATCCGACTAGTCTATCTTGACCAGGATAGTGTGTTCGTAGCTAGGTTGTGTCCAGTTCTGTCTCCTTAGCAAGTTTCTGAGAAATTAGCATATTCAACCTTCCATAAACTTTCTCTTATTTACCTCTTTTGTTGTCTCATAAGATACTAGAAGAGTCAAATTTGTGATGAGATGGACTTTCAGCATGATGATTTCGATTCATGTTTCTATGAATTTAATAACTTCATCTCTGTGTTGAATAGTTCAGCTTGCACACTCTTTTGTCATGGGTTTCGCCATAATGGATTGTATGCCAATCGCTTTCAAGCAAGAGCATTTATATAGCTTAGCAAAATTACTGGTCAAAATGGTCACAAAGGAAGATTCTTGTGACCTGTGAAGTATTATGAACATGATAATAGAGGAATTTCCAGATAACTGATCAGAAAAAAAGGTATATCCTTATAGCTTGCAGGATTGACTCGATTCCACTACAGGTAATGCAGGGTCTAGCAAAATCAATAGCTTGGGATGGCGAAGGAGCAACATGTTTGATTGAGGTCTGTATTTCTTTATTAAATTCCTTATGAGTTTTGACAAACTTCGATTTGCTCCTAGTCTTGTTTCTTAAACATGCATAAGCTTAGCAACCAACTGTAGAAAAGTAGTTGAAGTTCTCATCTGATATTTACATTTATGCTAATATAATCATAGACGAATACTAGAAAAGAATGATTAAACAGATGGCTGAGTAGCTGAGGTATAGGAGTAAGATTCTAGAAATCCCAGGTTTGGATCCTGACTACAACACATGGTGTGAGCTCATTTTATTCAGCTTTGGTGGACATGTTTACTGGGGATGTGCTTGTGGTTTTTAGCAGTCTGCAGGTGGCAATCAAGGTGCGGTCCAGACAGCATCATAAAAAATAGAGAACGATTGAATGGGTTATCATAGTTGAGCTTGTTAAGGATAAATTTAAAAGAATAATTTGAAGGTATCAAAGATGGAAAAAGATATCTTATCTTGTCTTAGTCATAGAAATAAATACATGTAAAGTCTTGGGTTCATTTCCCAGCACAGGGCACCCAAGGGTTTGGCAACAATGGTCAATGAAGTGAGCTGAGAGCTATGAATCACATGTTCAATTCCTAGTGGAGGCAAAAACATTCGGTGGTTTTTCCCCATATGTCCAAGTCTTAGTGAATAAAGGGACCCGAGTACCTGTGTTAGTAGGAGTTGGGAGGTAACAAGTACCCCGTTGAATTAGTTGATGGTGCGCATGGTTCTACATTTGACTAATATAAGTAGAAGGTCATAAAAGAATTTGCATTATCTTATGTTGATACCAATACTGGGAGATGGTAGCTTTGCTATATATAAGGAAAGAAATCAAGCTATGGTGGAGTGCTCGATCTCAATGCAGGTTATGGTAGGTGAAGGTTCTGGTGTTTTAAATAGGATAAACAGAATATTAATTCTTTTTTCTTTTTCTTTTTTGGGTCGACACTAGATTTAAATTCCTTCGTTACTTGGCATGATTAAGGACAACATCTAAGTGGAGAAGGGTAAAAGTACAGGGTCCATTATCCATCGAGTTTCAAACTGCATGCCACTCGCCCTCAAGGATTTCTCGGTTATCAAAAAGAAGGGAACAATCATGTATTCAGTTGAAAAAATGTTTAAAATGTGGCTTCTTAAACTTCCAGTTCATTCATGAGCATATATACACAACAGCTTGTAGAATCTCTTTTTTTATTTTTAAAGTTTTGCTCGTCTCTAATTGGACATAGGTGAGGGTTGATGGTGCTGATAACGAAGCTGAAGCAGCAAAGATTGCACGTTCAGTGGCTTCCTCTTCACTTGTCAAGGTATGAAATGAATTACTTTGCATATCTACTTGGAGCTACCTAGAAAGTACATTTTACTGATAGTTTCCTTTCTATAATCAGGCTGCTGTATACGGTAGGGATCCAAATTGGGGCCGTATTGCTTGTGCTGCTGGCTATGCAGGTATCCCTTTCAACGCCGACAAGCTTCGGATATCTCTTGGAGATATTGTTCTTATGGAAGCAGGGCAACCACTTCCATTTGATAGGTATGGAGAACAATACCCCCCCCCCCCCTCCGTTTGTATTGCATTCTTCGGCATGTGCCCTGAAATCGCCTTCTAGTGTCAGTTCCTGTCTCTAGAGAGAACTATAACGCTTCTTGAACAGATGCCTAACCAACTCATTTTGGTTAAGTTTGATGCTACTCTGATATTCTGATCAATACATAAACCAATTCCTTTCGCTCTTGAATGTTTAATTTTCCTGGTGAGGCCTTAGCCATTATAGAGCGTAAAATAGTTCTTTTGTCTCGGATTATATCTCAACCTCAAAATAGTGGTTCTTGCTCGAGTATTCAGTAGGATGCTAGACCTAAAGTACATACCACCTCATTTATATTGCTCTATACGCTTTACCACGTGATGCTCTTCCATAGATTTTTTTTTTCCTTTCTCTTTTTGTTTGTCTATCTTGGGACATCATAATCTTGGGTATTTTTGCAGGGTTGCAGCTAGCAATTATCTCCGAAAGGCTGGTGAAGTCCATGGCACTGTTGAAATCCAAATATCTATTGGTAAGTTTCACATAAACAGGCATATTCACATTGTACTTCCTCTGCATTGGTGGTGTATCGTGTTGAAACTAAACCAGCTCCATGGCATCACACCGTAACTCTAGAGATATAAGTACCCAGAAGACTGTCCCTATGCAAACTACTCTTTGAAGAGTGCATTGACTTGATTTTCTATATAAGATGACATGAACCAGACTTATTTCCAACATGCTCGACAATCACTGTTGGTTGAGATGTCAAGAACAGTACTGGCAAAAAAAAAATGCTGTGCCAAGCTTCAAGTCGAATTGATATACTTTTCGTGCAACCCCCTCTCCAACCCAGAAAAAAGTACCAACTTTCTTCTTTCCTTCAATAAATGGCAAAAAATTTCACCCCCTACATATCTCGATGATCGTGAAAACACTTCATACATTCAGGTAGACAGGATAATACCTATCTGCTCTATATATGTGCATATACAGTTTCTAGTGCGACTTTAGTTTGATAGTGTCTTCCACCCCCTTTCAAACTATGAAGCCCTCTGTTAACGAGGCATTCTTATCCTCCGGTTCCACCTTCTGAGGTTCAACAAAGATGACTCAATGTCACTACTATGGTCTCTTCATCTGAACATCTGCTCTGTTCATGCTTTTCATGGACTTGTTTGTATCGACTTAGTAAGTGATCTTGTACTGGGATGTACGTATAAATTTCAATTTCAGTCGCGTGTTCTCCCTGTGCAGGTGATGGTTCAGGAAGCGGACTAGCATGGGGCTGTGACTTGAGTTATGATTATGTCAAAATTAACGCAGAGTACACAACATGAAACAGGACGCGTTACTCAAAGATTGAAGTCTCTTCCTAATAAAGCAGCTGTGGCTCAAGCCAAATTATCGGTTCTATAGTTGTAATACTGATGGAACCAGCAAAATTTTGCTAGATTGACAGGGACTTTTCAAGTTGTTATTTCATCATTTCACACATCTGGTAAACTAGAAGCTCGTATGACATGTATTTTAAATGAATTTCTGATCTCAAAAATCAGAAAGAAAAAAAAACTTCATGAAATATTTCAGATAACTTGTTCAAACAAACTAGAAACATAGCAATGCAAAAAGTCATCCGTCCATTCAACAGGTCAAAAGTTAATAAGTTTTTTTAAGTACAAAAATGCCAACAACTCTATAACAACTCCCACAACTCAGATAAGCGTCAAACTTATTTATTTACAACTAGAAGGAAACAATCGAGAAGAAAACACACCAACAATCAGAAAGGAAGCTCATGAAGCCTTTGCAACTGGGAAATGCAACTCTGTGACAGATTTCTTTCGGAAACTGCTACCGCAGAATGAATCCGGGGGGCTGCCAATATCATAATCCATGGCACCAGCCTGCAGCCCACTAGAATGAGCAGTAATTTCATCCTCCAGACAGTGAAAGCGATTACAACTCATTATGTCCTTATCCTCTAGAGGATAATAACTCCTCCTGGTACTTCCACCATGTTTGCGACCTTGTTTCTTGTCTTTACCTTTGCTTCCACGTGAAGATTTGCCATTACTTTTCTGCTTGCTCTTTCCATTCTTCCTGTGGTCACTCCTGTGGCGTTGCCCCTTGATTGGCACATGCGAAGCTGCTGTTGGGATAGGGTCATACACATCGGGAGCCCATGTCACAGACAGCTTCTTGGGTGGCTTGCCTTGTTTCTCACGGCTACCTTTAATGGCAGATACAAGCTTCAAAGCTGTCTGAGAATTAAAAAAAAAAAAAAGAAAGGGAAAAACACAACTGTTAACCAACAATATGATAAGAAAATAACTTAATAGCTCAACGCTGAAAAAATCCCAACACAGAGTCTCCCCTGTGTATGAGAGGGAATTTATATGCTCCAACTGCTGTTCCAAAATACTGTTGCTTCAGCTTTATAACAGAGTCGAGAGCCATGTGCAAATAACAGATAGAGAGTTACAAGGCACCGCAAAACATATGCTGAAAAAAAAAGATATACAACCTCTGTCCCAATTTATGTGACACATTTTCCATTTTAGGTCGTCTCAAAAAGAATACCACCTTTCTACAGTTGAAGACAATGTTACCTTAAAGTTCTCCTTTTACCATGGTAAAGGAGTTGTTTAGACCACAGATTTCAAAAGTTATCTTCTTAAGCCTTGCACCAAGTCAACCCGTGCCACATAAATCGGGACGGGGCGAGTACTAAGGAAATTATGGCTCATTATATTGACAAAACAATAGCCCAAACAGATGAGAACTGATAAATCCTATAGCAACCTACCACCAAAAGGGGTAAAGGTGAACAAATAAGCAATAGTTATAAAGGTATGGCTGAAGGAAACAGCAGACTTCATATGCCCATGGCTCGAATATCCTCCTACAAGTTATTCAAGACATAATAGATATCCCCCATCCCTCAAAACTGTGAAAAGAAACTAAACATGACACATAAACCATTAACACTTCCCACTAGTAATGCTCATGTTGTGATTCGTGAACTGAGGCCAGAATGCATACAGCTAAGCAGACAAAAGTACATTTTCCTAAATAACATAGGATATCTTGGACTAGGTCTTTTTTATATGTAAGAAATCCTTTATCGTTAAAATGAATATGCTTCAAAATTGGCAATACAAGTGTAAGCAGACAACAACAATACATTGTTTATATAACAAAAGATATGTTCAAGTGAACTAAAACTTCATTTAGAACAAGAGTCAAAAAACCTTCTACGTCTTTTTTATATGTAAGAAACCCGTCATCGTTAAAATGATTATGCTAGAAAACTAACATTAAATGTCTCAGGACACAAAACTCACAGGTGAAGATATGGAACGTGAATAAGGCAAGTCAGTTGATTTAGCATCAGCCTCCTGCTCCTTCTCATGAACCAACTCAGCAGGGGGAGTGCTCATAGAAGAGCATGGAAATTCTGAGGACTTGATCAAGCATTTCTCTGAGTCCGTACTGCCAGTGTCAGCATCATTTGCATGCATATCTTCAGTTCCATCTTCCTCCAATGTGTTGGAATGTTCCTTGTAAATCAAGTCTTCACCATCCTTAATACTCAGAGATTCAGTGAAATGGTACCCAAGATCACTAACAAAAGGACCTCCTGGATAGCAAGAAGCGGAACCAAGAGTCTCCTTTGATGACTCACAAAAGCAACTTAAACTTTCAGAGTCACACTTGTAAGTAGCAGAACAAACGGCCATCAATTAAAGAGAGCAGCAAAAATCTGCACAAACATGCACACGTGGTCTCAGCACAAACAAGAAGCAACATTTGTTAGAAAAGAAAAAAGACGTTACAGTTATACAACTGAACTTCGTGGATAATTAATTGCACTTTGAACTTAACCAGTCATCTCAAAGTTATCAATGAATATTTTATCCTTCAAGTTATAATCCATCTATCACGACAAAGAAGCAATTCTAAAGTCAAAGAAAAGCGTATTGATTCTCATAACATTAGTAAATAGGGATTCTGCACATCACACAAATTACTTCCAAATAGGAAGGTATGGGGTCAAGGACAAGGGTAATAGGTAGCCGAGTGCTGTTGCACTGTTATGTGGGAGAGGCAGGGGGCGAGTCTCCTCTTAGTATTTGTATCATATCTTATTCTTCAATTCTCACTACTACATATTCTTAGTTTGCATTGTTCATCTAGCTTTTTTTTTTTTGCCGTCAATTTCCTTTCAATCCTGCTTTGCTTACATACTTTTTAAACCAAGTATTTATCGGAAACAACCTCTTTACCCCACAAGAATAAGGGTTAAGTATATATGCATCCTACGCCATCCCCCGAGACCCTACTTGTGGTATTAACAATATATCTTTCAGGCAAATATTGCACCCTGCCTATAAGTAATGCCTTAAAAGCTTAAGTACGAATTTCCAATCACCACAACAAGTACATCATTACAAGAATTAGCAATCACAGAATCCAAACGTTACTACAACTGTTCAATTTTGAACTTTATGCATTATCTAGACATAGATCGAAGCAAGATAAATTATTTTTACCCTAAACAGATGTTATGTAATTTATATTAACAACCTGATCCTATAATTGCAAAAATCAATCAAATCACAAATCATTACCTTTCAGTATGTCGATGTATAGCAAAATCACGCAAACTTCCACCAGATTCGACTACAACTACTCGGAAAAAGATGTGAAACAGCTGAAAAATCCCCTCGAAAGAAACAGAAAACCAGCAAGATCACAACTGAAACAGCAACAACAGAAGAAAAAGAAAACAGACGAAGATGAAATTAAACGTTAACTAAAACTATTACGCCAAGGCTTCAAACGATGAGAACACAAAACTCCATAGAAAGAAGCAGCTTGAGGTAAAGTCAACAGATCAAATAGAAAAGGCGACACCGAATGCATCGTAAAGATGCGATGCCCTTCGATTTCCCACCGCCACCAAAACCAAAATCCCTAATTCCCCTCCCAAAAAAAAAAAACTCAACTCGATTCAGCTCCACACCACAAAATCTCAAAGTACAGTGATCGAAACAATGGATGAAGAAGATTGAATTGCTCGAATTTCAAAGAAGCATAACCAGAAAACGAGTAAATCGGATCATTATTATAGCCCTAAATTACCATCGATTTCAACGGAAGACCAAAACACGAAATTGGGGGAATATGTGAGAAAGAGACTAATATTTATATTTATAGGGTACTCCTTCCTTTATGGTGTATTAGAAAATTTAAAAAATTATAATATATTTTTTATTTTAAAATTAATTAATTAATTTTTTTTTTAGTAAAAGACGTTAAAGATAAAAGGATAAAAATGTTTTTAAAAAGTAATATTACCTAGAAAAAATCTCATTGTGGCTAGAAAGATTTTTTCAAAAAGATTGTTTGTTAGCGAGATATTTTCAATTAACATGTGCTATCGTGCGGTGGTGTAACTTGAGTTATGTAGTGTGTGATTCAAATTTAATTGGAGATCTATATAGGCATCCGAATGAGTTTTGCAGTATGTGTTTCAGGTTTAGTTGGTCTCGTGGGCTCTGAATATTGAATAAAAAGTTATATTTAATTGGAGCATCAATATGGACTCCAAACATCGGGCGAAAAAATCAAATGAAATATGTATAAAAAAAATTAAATTTATTTTTTAATTAAAAGTATGTTTAGTTTAAACGATGAGATAATTAATTTTGGATAGAATAATGGGATACTTTATTTTGAGTATAGTTATTTCGCGATTGTAATATTACTTTTTCCTAGATAACAATTTTATATTTTGGAATAATTAATTCATGAATAGCTTGTTGCCCAAGTAAACAAGTTTAGTTTCTAATTTATCTTTATTAAACCATAGTTGTTTCTCCAATATATTTTACAAACAAGTGAATTAATTATAGAGTTTTCCAATGTTAATATAATACTCACTTTTTTTATATCATATTTGAACTTGATATATTTATTAATAAAATAATACTTCATTCGTCTCATTTTATGTGATAATATTTGAACGGATCCGAAGTTTAAGAACTAAGTGAAATCTTTAAATTGTTTACCAAATTCATTGTCAAAAAGTAAACTCACATGTAGGATACGTGTGTCTATATGTTTAATTTTATATAAGTTTAAATGTATACTTGTATACATCCAAAGTTAAAGATCATAGTTGTCAACTGACGCAAAGTTAAAGGTCATATTTATGTATTATGCTATTATTTTATCACATTATTTCTATTTTTAATATTAGTGTTGAAAAATAATAAATGCTAAACGTAAATATATGTGAAAACAATTATATTTTCTTGATAGATTAAGCTAGCGTTTGACCATAGATTTCCAAACATTCTTGGCAAATATTATTCGGGTGAAATTTCACCTTGTGCTTGATCATAGTATGTGAGAAACATATTTCATTTTTTTTAGAAATATATAATTTATAACTTATAAAAACTATAAGAACTAACCATAAGTTCGTATTACAAGTCAATTGCTCTTCGTTGCAAAAAATAACAAATAGTATCCATAACACTAGAGAAACTTGATAGTTTGGAGTGAGTGAGACAAAACATCATTCCACACATCGTGAAGTATACAAAACACATGACTTTGTTATCCTGATCTGATTGTTCATTATTTTCATCAATAACCATACCATCACTTTCATATTCATCGAATATTTCATCACTATTTTGGTGTTCAAGTAAAAAAATTATGTAATATAACCCAAAAAAAACTGTAGGGGGTGTTTTATAAAAAATAAAAATTTGGTGTAAAATTTTAATTTTTAAAAGATCTCAAATAATGAGATTTGAACCAAATACTAAAAAAAATAGTATTTAGAAATTTGAATATTTATCAAATAATAACAAATTGTATAGATAAACGCTATTTGCCAATTTTTTTCTCAAATATCACTTTGAGAAATCTATAGCTAAATGGGCCTAAAAATAATAAATAACAAATAGTAATCCTTTTATTTATCACTAATAGGTAAAGTTAACATACAAGTAAAGAGAAATAAATAAACATTGTCTTATTTCGATGAATATATATTATCAGTCAAATATAATATAAAGTTCATCTCAAATTATAATTTCACAATAATTAGTCTATCAGTAGAATATTAATGTGTCAATGAATATGACATAGCTAATCCTGTTCGTACACGTGTAAGTATAGTGAGATTTCATTTTCTCAGATGCAGATATTTATGGAACTTGGGCTGGGCTTCACTATATTCTTCATTGAATTTTATGCTAATGAGTATATGAAATGAAAGAAAAATATTGTAATATTAAATATGTTGGGAACTTGGGATCGGTTTGAGATTATAATCAAAGGTGGATCCACGATTTAAAGATTTAAGTATTAGTATATACAGAGAGATTGATTAATTTTCACGATTTAAAGATTTAAGTATTAATATATATAGAGAGATTGACTGATTTCCACGATTTAAAGATTTAAGTACTAATATATACAGAGTGATTGACTAATTTGATATAAACACTAAATGTAAGTATATATAGAGAGATTGAATAACTAGTTGAGACTTGAGACTTCAATGAGGGCTCTAAACCCAAAAAAAAGACTACATCATTAACCTTAAGCAAAAATTTCATCAAGCATGTTTAGAATTTGATAGAGTAAATTTGTTTTGCCAAGTAAATTCTAGCTTATATACTTCATAAAATCTGTTATATACACACTCTTCGACGGATTGAGGGTACGCCATTAATTGTCATGTCACTAATTTTGGTCAAGGTCGAGATTATAAGGATCACACTAGTCCTCGATCAAATCAAGAATTGGCTAGGATAGGACAGGGAAGCAGGAAGCTTAGGCCCTCGAGAATCCATGTACTACCCACAAGAGAGCATTCCAACTCCCAAAAATTCAACTAAAAATTGCTATATTCCCATCGCTAACCTTATTTTGTTCATGACAGTCCTCGACTCGACGGGGAATCGGTTGGGGCTGGAACAGGGAAGTAGGAAGCTTATGTCCTCGAGAACCCATGTACTATCACTAGAGAGCATTCCAACTCTCCAAAATCCAACTAAAAGATACCTATATTTCCATCACTAACCTTATTTATTTCGTGACAGTCCTCGATCCAGGGGAGGATTGGCTGAAACAAGAAAGCAAGAAGCTTATGCCCTCGAGAATCCATATTCTACCACAGAAGAGCATTCCAACTCCCCAAAATCCAACTAAAAGATACCTATATTCCCATCACTAACCTTATTTATTTCGTGACAGTCCTTGATTCAACGGAGGATTGGCTGGAATTCGAAAGCAAGAAGTTTATGCCCTCGAGAATCCATATTCTACCATAGAAGAGCATTCCAACTCCCCAAAATCCAACTAAAAGATACCTATATTCTCATCACTAACCGTATTTGTTTCGTGACAGTCCTCGATTCAACGGAGGGTTGGCTGGAACAAGAAAGCAAGAAGCTTATGCCCTCGAGAATCCATATTCTACCACAGTAGAGCATTCCAACTCCCCAAAATCCAACTAAAAGATACATATTTTCATGACAGTCCTCAATTCAACGGAGAATTGGCTGAAACAAGAAAACAAGAAGCTTATGCCCTCGAGAATCCATATTCTACCACATGAGAGCATTCCAACTCCCCAAAACCCAACTATAAAAAATAACTATAATTCCATCAATAACCTTATTTGGTTTGTCACAGTCCTCGATTCAAGGGGGATTGGCTGGAACATGGAAACAAGAAGCTTATGCCCTCAAGAACCCATGGACTACCACAGGATAGCAATTCAACTCTCCAAAACCCAACTAAAAGATAGCTATATCCCCATCACTAATCTTCTTTAGTTCATGACGATCCTCAATTCAACGCGAGATTGGCTAGGACAGAGAGCAAGAAGCTTAGGCCCAAGAGAACCCATGTATGAGGGATTGGCTAGGCCAGGAGAACAAGAAGCTTAGGCCCTCGAGAACCCATGTACGAGGGATTGGCTAGGCCAAGAGAGCAAGAAGCTTAGGCCCTCGAAAACCCATGTACTACTACCTACCACAAGAGAGCATTTCAACTCCCCAAAATCCAACAAAAAGATAGCTATATATATTCCCATAACTAATCTTATTTAATTCATGACAATCCTCGATTCAACGGGGATTAGCTGGAACAGGAAACTTATGCCCTCAAGCCCATCACTAATCAATTTTCAGACTGTGTGACTGATTAACTAAGAAATGACACTATGACAGTAAAAACAAGAACTTTTGTCAACTACTCAACTACCATCAATCCACAGGCATCACAGGACCAAAACTTCACTACAGAAACAAGAAATTTCCTTCACTTATAACCATTGAAGTGATATTTGATAAAACTGCAAATGATTTGTTTTACAAAACATAAAACAAGTACATTGTTCCTAAGGCTTATAAGCCCCCTACACAACAAGCAGAAATTAGATACCAAACCTACATACATTAACAGATTTATTTGAACCAAACACAAGTTCATAAAATCCTAAAATCATGCAACTTTGGTAGAGTGTTGTTCTTCACAAATTTAAGCCTTTCGTGGTGATTTGGTAGCCTTAGATGGTGATTTAGCAGGTTCTTTTCCAACTTTATCAGATTTCTTAGGCAGAAGAATTGGATTGATGTTAGGAAGAACACCTCCATGAGCAATGGTTACACCAGATAGAAGCTTTCCAAGTTCTTCATCATTCCTCACAGCTAACAAAACATGCCTTGGTATTATTCTGTTCTTCTTGTTATCTCTCGCTGCATTTCCAGCCAATTCCAAAACCTACCCACACAGAAGACAATTTCAAAAATTTATCATCAAACATGAGCTAAAGGTAAAATTTTCCAGATCCCACACTTGACCTACAAAATAACCCTAAACCCCAGATACAAAAAAAAAATTCAATTTTTAGCTAACAAACAAACCCCATATACTAAAAATTCAATTTTTTAGCCAACAAACAAACCCCAGACACTAAAAATTCAAGAGTTAGGGAAATATACCTCAGCAGCAAGGTACTCAAGCACAGCAGCAAGATAAACAGGTGCACCACTTCCAACTCGTTCAGAATAACGACCCTTTTTCAAATACCTACCAATTCTACCCACCGGAAACTGTAATCCAGCCTTAACAGATCTTGTAACTGCCTTCTTCTTTGGACCACCACCTTTTCTTCCTCCAGCACCCTTCTTCTCCATTTTCTACCTCAAAAAAATTGAACCCCAAATGATGAATTTCAATGAATTACTTGTATTGCTTTCGTTTTGAATTGATTTATGATATGAATTTGAGTTACAGTGAGCTGACATTTTATATCTGAGGTTTGTGCTTGAAGAAATGGACTTTCTTGGGTGAAGAGTAATTTGAGCCGTACGATTTTGGGTCAAATCTACGGCTGTGAGATGAGAATGTACACGATCCGTGTGATTATGAATTGACCAATGAGAGATGAACACGTGTGATTTCTAATTTTTTAATTTTTATGTTAAGAAATTTGTTGAGTGATGTTGACAGACTGGATAAGCCTAAAGATTTTAGGTGAATTTTTTATTTTTTTTTTGTATAAAAAAATTAAAGGACTCACAAAAAATATATATTGTAATATAGTATATACCACAAAATCAATCAAACTGATAAATCAAGTCTATTTTAATTTAACAAATTGAAAATTGATTTAAAATAATTTGATTTTTTTTTCAAAAAAAATAATGAAATCAAACTTATTGCTGTGTACTCCCTTCGTCAGGAAATGTTTATCATGTTGTGCTTATCGAAAGTCAATTTGACTTATTTTTAAAGGTAAATTAGATCACATTAATTCGATATTTTAAACAAAAAAATTAGATATTCAAAAACTATATGAAAAGTACTATAAATTACAAAAAAAATTCATATTAATATGATGAAAAAATGAATCTTAAAATGTTAGTCAAAGTTTTTATAGTTTTGACTCTAAAAATAGAAACCATGACAAACAATACCGGACGGAGGGAGTATATACAAGAATAACTACATATTCGATACGAAAAAGGTAAAAATACCCTTAAACTATCTGAAATAATTCATATTTATCCTTACATTATATTTTCAGCTCAAAACTATCCTTACCGTCAAACTATAAGGAAAGTTGTTAAATACCATGTGGATGCTACGTTGTTCGTCAATGGAGTTCCGCCACATAGACTAAAAGGAAAATGGTCAAAACTATCCTTAAACTATCCGAAATAGCTCATATGTACCCTTAAATTATATTTCGGCTCAAAACTACCTTTCCGTCAAACTATTGTGTCAAAAATGTCTTCTTATGTGACTGTAAAACCCTATTGGCGTGCAATGTGACATTCACGTGGCATTTAACAACTTTCATCAAAAAGGACACTTTTAACCCAATTGTTTGACGAAAATAATAGTTTTGAATCGAAATATAGTTTAAGGGTAAATATTATTTCAAATAATTTAAAGATATTTTTGACCCTTTTCCATATTCAATATAATCTCATAAAAATCGAAATCTCACATAAATTGAAAAAAGTAAAACATACACGAAACTTAACAACTCGCTTGGTAAGTTCATTTACTACACAAATGCATAACATGATAAGAATTGAGTTGCTAGAAACAATAACATACTTTGTGAAATTTCATTGATGAATTTTGAAATGATATAAAAGAATTATCATTTTATCCCTATTTCAAAAAAGCGGAGAGATATGTTTCCGGAAAACTAGCAACTCATATAACACATACGAAGATAGATTTGAAAGGGAAAAAATAACTAACGAAGATACCAAATAATAGAGAAAACTAGCAACTCATATAACACATACGAAGATAGATTTGAAAGGGAAAAAATAACTAACGAAGATACCAAATAATAGAGAGAGCGTTTTTGTTAAATTTTATTAAGGACATCACTAATATTTTTTTACTAAAAGAAAAAAAAATAAAATTTGCCCTTACGTCTAATTTAAAATTTTGAGATTTGAAGTTATGTTTTATATGTGCATTTTACTATCTTTTTAATTCTACGAGAAAAAAACTGAAAATTTTGAAGATCAAATATCTCCACCCAAAAAAAAACAATTTGAAAATTAATTTTAAAATTTGATTCAAAATCTACTAACTAAAACAAAAAAACTATCTTCAAATAAATATGCCCTTAAACACAACCATAGATAGAAATCACACGTAAAAAAAAAAAAAAAAGAGGACAATTAGCTTAGCTAAAATCATTTTCTACATACAAAAGCTCCAAAAACATTTGCTTATGAAAGAAGAGTAGCTTATTCTGTAACAGATTTTCAACCTCCCTTGTAATAAAGAAAATTCAAAAGATTAATAGAGAATTAAAGAAAAATAAAGAGCTATTCTCATCTGCTAGGAGTTCCTATTTTGCTTTGCAAATGCAATATTTCAGACCATGTAAGATCACAATTTGCAAAAATGCTATTTGAACACAACATCAAGTAGCTTGGGAAAAAGGAAATGTAAAAACTCTCCATTGCAGCCAAGCGAAGATACGCAGCAAACCTCAAAATGTTTCTTTGGTGTAAAACAGCAAACCTCTAGACCCTGTCAGTGTGTAACAAGGAAAACTCAGTCAAGAAGAATGAACTGATACGAGGAACATAAAATATTCTTCGTAGCGCAAAAGAACAATCAAATATTAGAAGTGGAGAAAAATCAGCTAAAACCACATTCAAGCACACAAGAAGCAACTAGTAAGTTAAAACATCGTATAGGAAGAAAGCATCAAGTGAAAGACATGGATACTAACTAAAATTTGGAGAGATAAAGATCGTCAATAAAGATGTCTAGCAAATATGCATGCTTAGAAGGTTACTAGAGAGTCCCAGCATTATATGTATGCAACAGATCTTATGAAGGATCAGCTATGAGATAAATATATTTCTACGGAAGTAACAGAAGTTCCCATTCTCAGAGTATTTGTATTAGTCTTCTTTTGTTCCTTATCTTTAGATTTCTATTACTATACATGCTATATTTTGGCCTCTATATCTTATTTTTTTCTTGTTGTTTCTGCTGCCTCTTTTTCATCGTTCGTTTCAGCCAAGGGTCTATTGGAAACAATCTCTCTACCTTCTCAATTCTCAAGGTAGGGTAAAGGTCTGCGTACTCTACCCTCCCCAGGCCCAACTTATGAGATTACACCAGGTTTTTTGTTGTTGTTGGAAGTAATAGAAGTCGCTTACTCGGATATGCCTTTGTCTTGAGAATTACTATATTATCTTATGGTGCTTAAAAAAGATTTGGTTCAACAGTTCCTTCCCACTTCCTACCACTCCCTTTCAAAACCCATTTCTAGATCAGTCCCTGTTCTTACAATGAAAAATATAGCACATTTTCACACTTTGAAGCTCTTATAGCAACACAATATTGTCAATTTTGTTGTATGATAACCACATTTTTGTATAGGGAGAAGACTGGGGATGTCGATATGGCAGGGCAGAGGTGGGACAAGGCAGGTCAAATCCTTAACGTGGCAGAGTGTCGCAGGGCGACGATTAGTGGGCCAGGGTAGGGTGGGGCAGGCTAAGACTTAATTTAATGGGACGAGGCAGGTGATGGGTCAGACATTATTTAAAGCAAGAGAGCTTCTTTGCGGGGAAAAAGTTGGCGCAATATGAAATACAAGCTCGATCTTAAGACTGCATATTCAGCCTCTATTTTCTATTTCTATTAACTGTTACATTCAAACAATATATGAATCAGCATATAAATAAACAGCAATATACTGAATTCCTATCTGTTACCTTCAGCAATAACAATTCAGTTTTGCACAGTTTTGAACAAAGTATTTTGGTATTTTACACTTAATTCTTTTTAGTTGGGTTCTCAGGAAAAGCAAACTCCAAATGTGTGTTGTTGTTGCTTTTAAAATGGAGGAAACACCGAAATACTAAAAAGTGACTCGCACCATATTTTTTTTTAATTCAATAACTAGAATAGTTTTATTATCCATATTGTGGGGGTCTATGTTGCTCAGACTCTTCAAAAATGTCAAGCGGTGTGTGTGGGATCCTCCAAATATAGTATATTTTTGAAGGATCCGACACGGATGCGCTAACATTTTTGGAGAACCTGAGCAACTTAGTGTGGGGTTGTTCCTCTTCCATATCTTATATGTGTTTGGACACACAATAAAGATAATGAAAGAAATTAAACAAACAAGTACCTGAAATTAACGATTAGTACACACAAACAGATTAAAGAAAATTCTTCATCATAGATCATTCAGTGACTTTACTTTCTTGGAAGATCTTTAGCATAAATTACAATTGAGACTGTACAGGAGTCGACCCTATATAGTGATCACTACGTCTCTTTGGCTTCAATGCGTATGAGCACATTATTATTGTACTCTATTTGACATGGATCCAGCAAAGCACCAACTGTTTTTGTAGTCCTTGTATCATATTAAGGGGTCGTTACGCTAATGAGATGGGATAGACAAGGATATTCTACCTTCTATATGGGATAGATAGTCCCACCATTTTAGTATAAATGGTTATGGGCCCAATTAATACCCATAGGCCATAACCAAACACGGGATTAAATGATCCCACATTTTATCCCGAAATTGTTATTCAAGTCCCACCAACCAAACAACCCCCAAGAGTTCAGATTATAAAAGCAATACTTCAGCACAGTTCAAAGATTAGTGAACACGATAAATCACTAAGTGCTGCACTACATAGTTATATTTCTCCTCAGCCAAGTCTTGCTGGCTTAGCACACATAAGATATCACTCTAAAGCATCACCCTAATATGCCGAGGATAACATCCTATGTATCTAGTTGTTCATATTGTCTTCAAATGTATAAAATTGCTACTTTAGTGTGATAATAGCCTTAACTCTTAAATTCTGGTTCTTGGAAAACTAACATAAGATTATACTTTCTTGAAGATAAAGATAACACTTTCCCCTCATTCTAATCAACAGCAAACTTAGTAGTGTTCAACAAGAACTAAAATATAGAACTCTTTGAGAAACTGGTGGATTTCCATTTATAGTGTTGGTGATTCTCTACTCAGAAAAAAAATCAGAATTTGACAGAAGTAGTTTTATTTTTTTCCATGGCTTCTGAAGACAAATTTCACTCACCATCCATCTAACCATTTTCCCTTTTTTGCGTTAACGGTCACATTTTAGAGTAGTATAATGCTAAAGATCTTAACATATGGAACACAATATCTTAATTTGCATCTTGTTATTAACTTCGATGAAAAAGCTATTGATGTAGGAAAAGTGGAAGTTATCTAAGAACTTGA